CTGATAGAGAATCCAGGGGCCATGCTTTTTGGGGTTCCTCCAGTCTCAGTCAGACCATTAAGTCTGGTCTTCTTACTAGAATTTGAGTTCTGCACTCCTCCTTTCTCCTGCTTCATCAGGGACTCTCTGTTGTGTTCCCTGTCAGGGTGGTCATTGGTGGTAGCCAGGTACCATCTAATTCTTCTGGTCTCAGGCTGATGAAGTCTCTGGTTTATGTGGAAAAAGTGTATCTATTTAAATGTTACTCCTATGAACCTTATTTTTGGGTGGCATCGGCTGTAACTCTAGCACATACTTGGTTCTGCTTTCAATTATATTTATATAGTCATAATAATATGAATACTATATATTTGTTTTCAAATTTTAGAATTCATTAGACAAATCTTGGGAAAAATTACTATGATTATGATATGTAAATGGTGTCAGCGTTGATAAAAACTATTGACAGTCACCATGAGCTGACTTTAGTTCTTCCTGTAATTCCCTCCATGCTTATACTGCCTCCCTCTACCCTTTATCAACATTAGTTATTGTCTACTGATTTATGCCTATGTCAAATGAGGATTACCTCACTTACCCAGCTACCTCATCTTTTCCTCCCTTCTCCTCCCAATATTGTTTTAGTCTTATTCCCTATGCAGCTCCTCATCCCCCATTTGCTGCTGGATCTGACACCAGCTGCCTATGCACCACTTTTTCCTCTGACTCTAACTACCCAGAGCTAGGCCAGAGCTCACAAACTAGAGGCCACAGTTCTCTAGACTGCCTAGTAGGCCCAAGACTTCAGATGCCAGCTGCAAGATTGGGAGTCCACACAACACCCTCACTTCTGACCTGATGGCTACAAATTCAGGGTTTTCCCACTATCCCTTCAGGATACCAGCAGTAAGTTCAAGGGTTCCTAGCCCCCCTCACTTCTGTCCTGCTGACTTCCATTACTCCCTTGGGTTTGATAATTCACTAGAATGACTCAAAAAACTCACAGAAAACACTATACTTATAATTACAGTTTTATTACAGCAAAAAGGATACAAATGAAGAGACACATAGGGCAAGGGCTGGGAGGGTTCCCAACACAGAGCTTCCATGTCCCAAAAAGGGAAACTCTAACCTCCCACTTGCATCCATATCTTTCACCAACCAGGAAGCCCATGGTGCTTCTGTATGCAGAGCCTTTACTGGAGTATCATTATGCAGCCATGATTGATAGAATCAGTCCACTTCCCCTGAGGCTGACTGATATCAAAAGGTGGTCTTTCTAGCCTGGCCAGCCCCCACCTCATTCACATCATTAGCAAAATCTATCAGGTCTGTTCTGAAGACCTATAGATAATAAAGGCACCCTGTCTACTCAGGAAATTCCAAATGTTTACAGTTATCTCTCAGGAACTAAGGACAAAGACCAAATTAATTTGGGTAAAGTTAAATTCTTTACCCACAATAGCTCTAAGTAATAATCTTTAAAAAAGTCTTTTTCTGAAGTACATTGTAGAGAAGTATCACTAATAATTATTTATTAAATTATTTAGGGGTCTATTCAAAATATAGATAAAAAATGCTTTAAATATAGAGAAAATTCAGTTTTATATCAGATGGGTGAAAAATCCTAAGTGAGCCAGAGAGAATCCAGAGCATACATAAAAGATAGATTAATAATGTATTTTGATTAAACATGAGACCTAGGTATAAATCTATTCCAATTTTGGAATATAAACCTAGTAAGCTCAGTCTCCGGGAAGCCAAGGTGTTCCAAAACAGAGATGAAATAATTGATTGGGTCAAAGCATTGCAGGTCAAAATAAGAAATAATCATTTATTTGCCCAGCAAGAAGTAGTAATCATAAGGGTAACGTTAACATGTAAACAGTAATCAGTAAATTTTCAAAGCATTTCCACAAAAACTCATTTATCCTCACGTAAGAGTGATGAAAAGACTGGATGTTTTTGGTAACTTGTATTTAACAATTTTCAAATTTAGTTGTGATTTTTTTTTTGTAATGGTCCTAGAGCTAGTGACAGTCAGTTCTAGAACCAAGATTTTCCATTTCCCAGTTTAGACAACTGCATGTCTCCTCATACTGCTTCAGTAGATTAGTGAGGGCAAAGTATATAAACCACGTGTTGAAAAAAATGGAGCTGTGGTGTACATTAGGGATAGAGAATTTGGGTGGATTTGAATGTATACTTTTATGAGATTAGAGACACCTAAGCACATTTCTAGATTTAAGGGTTTGGAAAGAAAGAAAATGTACAATCCATGAAGACACATGGCAGGTTGGGGAGTGGTATCCAGGAGGATGAGATTCCTTAAAAGGCAGAAAAGTATCCAGTGCACAAAAAAGGATGGAATAATATATAAAAATAGATTTTTTAAAAAAGATCATGATGAAACAATTCAAATGTTCGGTCTCAGGAGGAGACTGGTAAAATAAAATATATACATACCGGTAAAATGCAAGGAATGAGGATGATCTTTATATTCTGGTATGGTGTGATCTTCAACATACATTACTATGTGAAAAAAGTAGAGTACAGTATACTGTTTATAGTATACCTTTTTTTTCCCTAACAAAGGGGGAAATGTTATATTCATATTTTGAAAAAGAATAAAATAATAAACCAAAAAAAAATAATAAAAAAATGTTTAGCTACGTGAAAGGAGGGAGCAAAGTGGGGCAGCAAAGAATGGAAGCATGACTTTTCTAAATGTAACTTACGAAGTTTTGACTCCAAACCAATTAAATGCCTTATGCAATTAAAAAAGCAAAATCAAATTAAAAGAAAAAAAAAGGAATACCTAAATAATTGAAAATAAGTTGAAACACATGAACCTGTTTATCAAGTTGATGGTATAATCACACTGAGAAATTTCACAAGTCTTAAAATATGCAGTATTTTGACTACATATTCCTAATAAGATATTTATAAAGAGAGAAAGAACTACACAGACATTTTAAAGTGTGTTCACTAATATTACTTATAATATTGGTATAATGTGGTATAAAGCAAATCACTAATTATATTAATGTCTTTGTGAACAAGATTTTCAGCATAAGAGAAATATGCTAAATATAACACCAAAGAGGTTAAGCAAAAAGCTTGCAATCTTAAATTCTGATTGTTTTAAAGGTATTTTCTAGCTCCATCCACTGAAAAGGCCTAGAAGCTATGGCAACTCAGAAGCAATAAGTATTATTACTGTATAAGTTATGGTCTCTAAATACCATTTCTATTAAAAAAAAAAAAAATTAGGGCTACTTGGAAAATGGCTGATCCCAGGTTAGGTCAAGAAATGTTCAAGATGAGCAATCCCTAAAAACTAAAAAAAAAAAAGTACCTTAAATGTGTATCAAGTTGGTGGTACAACTACACAAAGTTTTGCCCAAACTGAGTGAGTATTTACTCCAACTATTTCATTACCCTGTACTTCATTCAGCACTGTGTGAAGAAATTCCTCAATTAACATATAATTATATACAATAATGTATTATATTTGGTTTTCATGTTACTTGCCTCTTTCTACAAAAGGAAATACATTTTACAAAATTTCATAAACATTTATAAATATAATCTTCATTATAGATTACAATGTTTATGCCTAAAAGCAGATTTGGGAGAAAGACCATCTACTCCCACTACAGGCTAGATTAAGTTCCCAGAAAAATAATTAATAGAAAAAAAATGCAAAAACTTACGGTCCAGGTGGCTATCCAGGACTTTAGATATTACTGTAACTTCCCTTGGTCCTCAAAGTCCCTGACAGAAGCATACAACTACTCGTCACTCTGTCTATGCAAGGCAGCATGTTTCTGGATCTACAGAGTTCAATTCTTGCTATATTATAACCCTTCTACAATCACAGTATACATTACCATTCTGGACAAAGCAATACTAACAATCTAAGTACTTTCATTTAAGAGAATGTTCATAAATATCTACTCCCCTAGTCTTGAATCAAGCATAGCATGTACCTGCTCAGGAAGAAAGTAAAGTCAGATCCAAAAACATTCTGCCTTCCCCCTGTATTCCAACCTTCTGGATCTGATTTAATACTCTCATCTAGGTGATCCAGGTAGCATTTGGCTTTGGAGCACAACCACAAATTTATCTTCCCTAATAAATACTCTACCACTATTTTTTCCTAGATGGCTGTTATTTCATTCATATATAGATTTTATTTTCTAGTGCTCAAGTCTAGGTAATACTGAAGATGGAACTAGTTAGATTTTCTTAAGTAAAGTTTAATTCTTAAAATAGAAAGTAAATGGATGTATAATAAATATTTCTAATACATATCACAATTCTAAAAAATAATATCTGTCTAGAGTTTTTGATAAAGTACTGAATATGTATTACAGAGGATTTTTAATGACTTTTTAAATTTTAAAAGTGAAATTGTATATACATACTTACAGCATGACAACATGCTTAAAAGTAAGGTATTTTATTGTAAAGCTTTCAAGAAAAGTACACAACAGGTGTTGAATTAAATTGAAGACATGGCTGTTCCCTCTTCATTGATCAGAAAGGAAAGAATATTTGAATAAAAATTAAAAAACACAAAAATAAAACCAGAACGTTACATAGATTGCTGCTTCTTTTCCAAACACTTCTCAATATCATCAAGCACTTGAATAGCAGCCTTTGGAATTCGAGTTCCAGGACCAAATACATTGGAAACACCAACTTCATACAGAAATTCATAATCCTGTTGAAAGAATTGTTTAATTAATAGAAGACACAATATTTCTAATTTCAAGGAAATAAAACAAAAGAACAATAAGCCTTGTCCTTTCTTCTCTGTCCTCAATGCTCAAAACTTTCTCAACTGGTATACATTCAGGGCTGAAAAATCGTTTTTCTGAGACTGCATCTAATAACTAGTAGCACCACTCTCCTACTCTAAATCATTTTAAGAAGCAAAATACATCTTGCCAATTCTCCAAATACTCCAGGGTGTTGTTCGTGGAGCGCTGTTATGGTTCCCCGACTGAGAACTTCTGGGCCCTAAACCATAATCTTCTCTAACCTGAATTTTCAGTACTTGTCATTACTTGTGTTAAATTTATTATCATATTATAGCTCTGAGTTTACAAGGCTACTTACTTCCTCCTAGATACTTTGTCTGCTGATAGTGAATGGTGATACTTTAAATTTGGCCTCCTGATGGAATTAGATTTCCTACAAATAAAGATTAGCTCATTTCTTTTCATTTTCTTTTGTTGTTGTTGCTGTTTGTCAGTTTATCTTAAACATGGTCAAGGTTTGAAAGAAAAACAGGCATTACCCCTATGTCTTCTTCTAATAGTTTATGGTTTTAGATTTTAAAAACGGAAAATAACAAATGTTGGCAAAGATGCGGAGAAATCAGAACCCTCATCCACTGCTGGTAGGATGTAAAATCGTACAGCTCCTGTGGAAAACAGTTTGCAGTTCCTCAAAAAGGTAAACATAAAGCTACAATACGACCCAGCAATTCCACTCTTAGGTATATACTCAAGAGACATGAAAGCAGTTAACACATACAGAGACATGTACACCAGTCTTCATTACAGCACTATTCACGATAGCCAAAAAGTGGAAACAACCTAAATGTTCATCAACAGATGAATGGATAAGCAATGGTATATACATCCAATGGAATATTACGCAGCTATAAAGAGAAATGAAATCCCAATATATGCTAGAATATGGATGAACCTTGAAAACATTATGCTAAGTGAAGTCAATCACAAAAGGACAAATATTCTATGATCTCACTAATATATATGAAACACCTAGAATAGGCAAATGGATAGAGATCAGAGTTTAATAGTGGTTACCAAGGACAGGAGGGCAGGGGAAAGGGAGAATCATTGTTTAGGAAGTGTTGAGTTTCTGTTTATGGTGATGGAAAACTTGGCAATGGATATTGGTGACGGTTGCACAACCTGATCAATACAATTGATGTCACTCAATTATATATGCGAAAAATTTGAATTGGCAAAAGTTGTGTCAACTATATTTTTACAACAATAAAAAAAAAAGTTATTATTTTAAAATGTCCTTCATTGAGTTAGGTTTGGAAATATCACACTGTCTGCTTCATGATGAAAGTAGGCAGTATGAGCCTGCTAAATTTTCCTAAAATATCTCTAGGCTACTGCTGTTAAAGAGGGTTAGAAGACCATGACTGTGGTAAGAGAAACTGGTAAGGATAGACCATATTTATTTAATTGCATGGCACAAACTATAAGTTCCCCAATGGCAGGGTTATATCTGTTTGATTAACCACCATTTATCAGTTCCTTTTAATTTGAAAACTAAGTGATTTTCAATTCAGTGAAAACAAATATCGAGAAAAATACATAGGTGTTAACTGCTTAACTGCTTTTAAAGGATAACCATTAATGCACAAGCGTGTCATTATAGAAAATGGTCATTACAGTCTTTTAAACTCATGGGGAAAACGTATGACAAAACACCTGTAGGTATTCTGAGTAATTCAAACATCCCGAGGGCAATACAACTTGTTTGAAATGTCTTTCTTGAAAATGTCAGCTCACTTACATAATAAGCCTACATTTTTTCTCAACTCATATTTTAATTCAAATGTTTTATGCTACCTAATTATTTTGGTTCTTAAATTTTAATATCATGCCTAAGAGCATAGGGATTATAGCCTCTAAGACTGCAATATACATAGTAGTATTCCATAGAGAGACAGAAATAAAGAATAATAGCCCTTTACTTTTCCAAATAGTAAACTATATGATAATATAGACAAGTGTGTGAACAAAAGCAGTTTTGTGTTGACTATATCACATAAGTACTATGTTGTTAAAAAGAAGACAAATAGTATGTATTTGTTCTCTAACCCTGCATTATTACCAATTGTACAACCTTATGCATATGTATTTTCTCATTTCATTAGTAGTGGATAAACTCACTATTCTATATTCTGAGTTGTAGCAGAGAAAAAATTGTAGACCCTGGAAACAAGGTCACATTTGACAGACAGATTCCTGGTGGGGCTTCTGTAGCATCTATGCATCACTTACCTTGTGGAGCCTCATATATGATTCTTCTAGCTCAGTATTTTCCATTCTTATTAAAAAGGAAAACTTGAAATAATTCAAAATTAGATTGAAAACACACACTATTTATATCTTAACTAATTATTTTAACTTTTTGGAAAGCAAATATGTGAAATGAATCCCCCCCCTTTAATAAATTAATTGACATCATTGATTATTTACCTAGCATCCATTTCTCCTTTCCTAAAAGGACTCAAATTTTTGCTCAAGTATCCACCTCTTCCCCATTCAGCTCATAATTATCAGGACAAGGTGATTCCATTTATGATTTTTTAGATTCAAGAAAAGTATATCCCAATCAAAGCAGCTTAAATAATAAAGAGGTTTTATAGAATCACGTAACTGATACAGCTCTGAAGTGGGGTGCTATTTTGGGATGGGAACATGAGGGAAATGGACAAGGTGATGCCTCTAAAACAGTAGAAGTAAATACTCCAATTGGCTAGCTAAAGGAATCCACTGCCAGGATAAGGAGTCTCCTGTTAGGGTTTGATATATTCACTGTGTATTTACCATTGTTCTATTGCCATTGTTTTTAGTATTTTTAACCTGTTCCTTCTCTATCACTGTTTATTGACTATGAAGAAGGAAGACAGCTTATTTATCATAGGTTGCTGGTTTGTAAAGAGGTAGTTCTCTCATAGAAGCTTTGTAAACTGTTAAATTAAATTATACATAATAAATTTCAATATAGCTTAACTAGAAAATAATGACACTGTCCACTTTTGGACTTTGTAGAATTCACTTAGTAAAATCACCAGGAAATAATTTAGTTCTAAATCTACAAGTTCAGTAAAAGTGTACAGTAAAATAAGGTACTACATATAAGCTATGATTAGTAAGGAGTCGTATCATAGAACCAGAAAAATACCTGTGGTGGTATTACTCCTCCACACATAACAAGAATATCTGGCCGTCCAAGGGAGCTAAGTTCTTTAATGAGCTCAGGAACTAGGGTTTTATGACCAGCAGCTAGTGTGCTCACACCCACAGCATGCACGTCTGCATCCACAGCCTGCTGTGCCACTTCGCGGGGAGTCTAAACAATGTAAATAACATTTATACTATTGATATGATAAGTACGCAATGCTGTATTTGCTTGTGGTACTAACCAAAACCAAAATAACCAAACCCACCGCCATCAAGTCAATCCCAGCTCACAGTGACCCAATGGGACAGAGTAGAACTACCCCATAGGGTTTCCAAGAAGCAGCTGGTAGATTTGAACTGCTGACTTTTTGGTTAGGAGCTATAGTTCTTAACCACTGCGCCACCAGGGCTAGCACTAATGAGTTGCCTTAAAGTCAACCCTGACTCATGGCAACCCCATGTGTGCCAGAGTAGAACTGTGCTCCACAGGATTTTTAATGGCTGATTTTTCAGAAATAGTTTGCCAGGCCCTTCTTCTGAGGTGACTATGGGTGGACTTGAACCTCCAACCCTTTGGTTAGCAGCCGAGAGTTAACCATGTACACCACCCAAGGACTCCACTTCTAGCACTAAAATTCATCAATTAGATTAAAGTTATACCAATAAATAGTTCCCCAAAAGAATCTTCAAAATAAAAAAGTAATATGAGTAACATATATTATCTCTCTTCATCATAATTTCTTTTAAAATACTGGCATTCATTGTCTTCATTATCAACAAACACTTACTGAGTGCTTATATGTATAAATAAGACTCTAAAAACGTTTGTGTAGTTACAAGCAACTTATCAAGGACATATCTCCGGAAGTTCAGCCTAATTCTTGATAGTAACAATTTCCTATAGACTCTCTGGAGTCTATACTTAAAAAAATTCAGTCAAAAGAGGGAAATCTTACAGGATATTCTACAAAGACTAGGCCTCTTTAGGAAAGTTTACTTCCTTACTGGTGAAAGGCAATGAATATTGTTTAGTCCTCATCTTAGAAGACCTATCTGTAGTATGTAATAATGCTATTTCCTTCTCCTTGAAATGTTGCAGTTTTAGTTTGTAATCACACTACTCTATTTCCTGTCACTTCTTTGCTGCCTCCTCCTATTTCGCTAAAATATTCAGGATTTCTTTTCACCTCATTGTATACGTCCTTCATGGCAAATGACATCCATTTTCATAGCTTTAAGTACCATTTCTGTGGTACTTCTCAAAATTGTTAAGTCTCAACAAATTATTTTCCCGTCTAAATCTAATATTCTGTGATTAAAGAAAATACTACTAAAGAGTTAAAAAAAGGAAAAATCTACTTATGAACTGAGTTTACTCTAAGGTTTGATTTCCCTCTCAAAACAATTTCCACTAACCTCATGTAGGTTATCTTTCCCCCATGTAGGCTATCTTCCCCATAAAATATAAGTCAAATCACAATAAGTAGTAAAATAAGGTTTTTGAAAATAATCTTCACAGTTTCAAAAGCCTAATAAACTATTTAGTTCTGCACTGACATTTACTTTTGCAAAGTCCGAATAAGAAGTACATTAAAGTGAATATTTTACTTTTATTTTTGTCACAATTCATTGGACTACATGCATTCAAAAATAAATTAAGGACTTTGTTGAATATGTTCTTCTTCTACAACTTTATAAGCATTTATTATCTATATATATCTTTATTTTACTATTTTTTCAGTGTAAGCTACATATAATTCTAGTGTGACTTATGGCATACTTTTTGAAATTCCCCTCAACAATTTTTAGTACCTGAAAAAGAGGACCAATGTCCACATCAAAACCAAGATCAGCAAATCCTGTAGCAATAACTTTTGCTCCTCTGTCATGGCCGTCTTGTCCCATTTTTGCCACAAGAAGACGAGGTCTGCGACCTTCACGTTCCATGAAGTTGTCAACTCTAAGAACATTTTAAAACACAACCATTAAATCTTAACTGACCAGAGGTAGGATATAAAAACTGTAATTTGTCCACATCGAATCTGTCTAGTTTATTTGAAAATACCTGATGTGTTTACATGTATTTTGCTAACATCCCAATTTTACATTGAGAGTTCCATTAAAGCCTGAACATGTTTATCAATTCCCCCTTAAAGGAAAAGTTGAAAGGTGGCAAAGCGTATAAACCCAAAATACTGACGATATCACAGTGACACAAGATGAGAAAATGATAATTTTCCACCTTCTTGAGCCAGTCTCCAGAATGCAGTATGCACAAATATTTAAATGTAAATTTAAAAATGCCTTACAGAGTCATTTATACATATGTGGCTCCCTAGCTATTCTGGATTGCTCAGGTCTCACCTACACTTCACAAGTGTGGACTCCTCTAAGCTGACTACAATATCATTTTATAATGATGTTTAATCAAAATTCTTACTTACTTTAAAAAAAAAAATCAAACCCAACATGAAAAAGCACTATATTTATTTTAGGTAAAAGACAAAAAAAAATATGTTCCTTTTTGATAACTTTAACTTTGGCTGTTTTGATATTTATCTAGTACACAGTACTGACATAAATTTTCAGTGAGATGTTTACTACCAAGGTTGAGAAAGCCAGTCACCCAGAAGCCACTTTTTACATTTGAGAAACATGATCACATTAATTTATATTTGCAAGTCATGTTGTGGCAGGGTTATTTATTGTCAGTTCAGTAAAGATTGATTCAATGTGTACAATGAAGTATTTATTTCCAAATAGGAAAATTAAAATTTTACAGTTATTTAAGCAATTGAACAGTATAAATTAACTCAAAATATTAAAACCTACCAGAGTAAGCAGATTAACATCTAAGTACCTAGTGGGTATGAAGCAGTACCAATGTTAGTTAGATTAAACAAACAACTATTTGAAATGAGAAAATTCTAAAGAAGACTATGGTTAAAGTTCCAAATATTGCTTTAGTAAAACTATACACCAACAGGAAAGTTAATTCAAGTATCTTCCAGGGGTATGTGAGAAAATCAAGTCCCCAGGAGATTCATAGGGATTGTGTTAACAGAAAAGATGACATCCTGGTTTAGGGAATCTCACATATTACCTCTTGATAGCAAATGTTATCTCTTTACTTTCTCCAAATTCCTGGCGATATGCTCCACTCACCATCCGATCATTAGCTCTATGTTCACCAAATACCTTTTTCATGGCATCTGTGATTTCTCCAACTGTACATCTGAAATATTAAATGGAGGTTCTGTTAAAATCACTATTTTGAGATAAAAATATTGATTCACCTTAATACTCAATAAAATTGGATACATTTTATTACCTAAGTGAACTTAGTAAGACCATTGTGATGAAGTAGAAAACCAAGCGCAGTAGGTCAAGATGTGAACAGGAAGTAAGACACCAGGGACTTTTGCAAAGTCCGAATAAGAAGTACGTTAAAGTGAATATTTTACTTTTATTTTTGTCACAATTCATTGGACTACACGCATTCAAAAATAAATTAAGGACTTTGTTGAATATGTTCTTCTTCTACAACTTTATAAGCATTTATTATCTATATACAGTACATGGCAAAGGATGTAGAACAAAATTCTAACTCACAAAAAAAGACCAGATTTACCAGCCTGACAGACTGGAGAAACCCCAAGAGTATGGCCCCCAGACACCCTTTTAGCTCAGTGGTGAAGTCACTCTCGAAGTTCACTGTTCAGCCGGGGATTGGACAGACTCATGAAACAAAACGGGACTAATGAGGCACAGCAGTCCAGGGACAAGGACTAGTAGGCAGGAGGGGACAAGAAAGCTGGTGACAGGGAACCCAAGGTTGAGAAGGGACAGTGTTGACATGTCATGGGGTTGTTAACCATTGTCATAGGGCAGTGAGTTGAAGACAATGGTGATAGAATAATTTGGAAAAGGATAGTGAGAATAGCAGCACAACTGGAAGAATGTAATCAATGTCACTGAATTGTACATGTAGAAACTTTGAAATGGTGTAACTTAGGCTATGTATATTTTCACCAAAAAAAAAAGAAAAAGGGTCCTCCCAGGTCGAGAAGGGAGAGTGTTGACATGTCATGGGGTTGTTAACCAATGTTATAAAACAATATGTGTGTACTGACTGTTTAATGAGAAACTATTTGTTCTGTAAACCTTCCTCTAAAGTACAATAATATATATATATATATATATATAAACAACAATACATGGCTCTAACAGTGAAGAGAGAAGGATTGAACAGGGCATGGGGAGGTCGGTTGCTCTTCTGGTTGCTTCACTATTAATAATAACTCAAAAGCAAAGGAATGACACCAACTTTTTCCTATCAACTATTAGATAAAGCCCTCACTGAGGACATTTTAATCAGGGAAATATAAAGGTGGTAGGTATAAGTCCAATGATATATTTGTAGTACATCAAATTTTAACTTGAAAAATCAGTGAAATAGATTTTTACAATAGCTTCAAATGTTCCGAGCCACAGTGAAATACACAAATATTAGTATACTCCACTCAAAATACATGAATTTGTTAAATACACAGATAGTTTAAAAAAACAAGAATTAAATTTACTTTGGTTTCCATTGTTTTCTTTTGGGCTCATGGGATGTACAGGATCAACCTTTTAAAGTATACTCTGAGAAGTTAAACTGGCCAACTTTTAGAATCTGGAAATCTCCAAACTTACATATCCTTACCTTGCACGGGCTGCATCCACCGCAAGAGCCAGGATATTTCCATCTCCACTGGCAGCACAGTCAGTTAGTGCAGCAAGACACTGGTCAGCCAGAGCTTGATCCCTGCTGGATTTGATCTATGCAAAGGTGAAAGAAAGGGAATAGGGAATAAAAAAGAGATCAGGAAAACAGACCTTGATACACATCATACAGAAATTGTTCCATAATCCTAAACCTAATAAGAAGAGGGGGAAAAAAAATGAAGAGAATAATATATAACCAAGATCTGAGAGTCATTCAATTCATTCACTCATTGAAGAAACATTTAAGGTTAAACATTTCAGGTTACTGTGCAACCTAGACAAATCAGAAATAAGTAGGTCAATAAGAAATAACAGTGCTGACCCTCCCAAGTAGTACGTGTTACTTAGCATTTTCTAATGTAGCAAGATATTGAAAACAAGTGGATCTTTTAAAAGAAGTATTTCAAAGACACTAAATATTAATAGCGACTAGGAAGAAAAACAACAGATTAGAATTTGAGGAATATTTTAGTTATATTTTAATAGTCTCCCAAAACTAACAATATACAGTCACGGGCAACATCCAACCACACATACGTCTGTGGTCCCATAAGGTTATAACAGAGTTCAGAAATCCTGATAGGAGAATGGGACGTAGCAGATTTAGGCATGTTGCATTTGACAATCATGATGAGCCTGAGAAACAAAGAAAAAGTTCTCCAAGCTAGTTTGGCTCCACTGAAAGCTATGAGGCTAACGAAAATGCAAGAGGGCCCCATATCAGATATTGAGAAATTGCTAATGATATAGAATGAAAACCAAATGCAAAAGTAAATCCCTCTCTCAGCACAGTGACATCACTGCTGAGGCACGAAGCTTATTCAAGACGCTTACAGAAAAAGCAGGACCGGACTATGATATGAAGTTTAGTGCTAGCTCTGGGTGGTTCACAGTGCTTCAAACGATGTTTTTTCCTGCGTAACGTGAAAGTGAATGGTGAGTGTGTGAGTGCTGATGCGGAGGCAGCAGAAGAATTTATTGACACCTTAGATAAACTAACTGTAAAGGGAGGTTATTTGCCCCAGCAAATTTTTAACATGGATGAAACCTCCTTATTCTGGAAGCGAATGCCTGAAGGATCTTCATCCATAATGTGGTATTTGCACAACATCCACACCACATAACGTTCTATTTCACAGATCTTATCATGCATGTAGAGCAATGCGTGACTGTATTGGTAACAATATGAGTGGCTATTTGCTGTTCTTTGTTTTTAAAGATAATCCCACGAGACAGACAAAGACAACGAAAAGCATGACCAAAAACTTTTCCCGTATATCTTTGCTCTGCTAACTTACCTAAAAAAAGTTACTTAAATCCAATTTTGTTTTTCACAAGTTCCACCACCACAGTCTAAAATATGATATTGATCAGGAATTTACTAAAATTATACAGTATCTGTAAGAAGAGTTGGGACAGTAAATTTACAGTAAGGGTAAGGAAAATACAAACTCCAAATTACCATGAAAGTGCCTATTTTTCTTTTTCTTATAAATTGTCTACATTTTTTGTGGTCTTAACTTCCAGGCTGAGGGGAAGCAATATAGTACATTTTGAATTGCACGTCATAATACATTCGTGCACTGGGATATAGATTTAGTGGACTGCAATCGGGAATTTTTAAAGACTGAAATAAAAGAGAAAATATCCAAGCACCCTGCACATAGTTTGGGTAAACACAGTTTTGTGGAATGTTTATTTCAGTTCTATGTGCGTGCACATGCATGCACATTCATGTGTGGATGTGGGCATGTACATAAAATCCATCTCCTGCAAAAATGTTAGAAACACACTAGTATGGAATTCAGAGCATAGGCACAGAAGTCAGATGTGAGTTATACTTCCAGCTCCGACATTTGCTAGCCAAATGGCCTTAAGAAAATTATTTAACATCTCTCCATTTCAATTTCCTCATCTGTCACATGGGATTGATGAAAAAAATAATATGGTCTTTATAAAGATTAAATAAGAAAATGCATGCCTTGAGCAAACAGGAATTCATAAGTTTTAATTTTATAAAAGTAACACTAATACAGCCACCACTTGACTGTCAGTTTGTTGTACTGTGGTGGCTTGCGTGATGCTGTGATGCTGGAAGCTATGCCACAGGTATTTCAAATACTATCAGGGTTACCCATGGTGGCCAGGTTTCAGTGGAACTTCCAGACTAAGACAGAATAGGAAGAAGGACCTGGCAGTCTACTTCTGAAAAAATTGGCCAGTGAAAAATTACAAATAGCAGCAGAACATTGTCTGATACAGTGCCAGAAGATGAGCCCCTCAGGTTGGAAGGTACTCAAAAGACAACAGGGGAAGAGCTACCTCCTCAAAGTAGAGTCAACTTTAATGATGTGGATGGAGCCAAGCTTTTGGGACCTTCATTTGCTGATGTGGCACAACTAAAAATGAGAAGAAATAGCTGCAAACATCCAGTAATAATCAGAACATGGAATGTATAAAGTAATCTAGGAAAATTGGAAGTCATCAAGAAAGAAACAGAACGTATAAAGATCGATATCCCAGGCATTAGAGAGCTGAAATGGACTGGTATTGGCCATTTTTAATCAGACAATCATATGGTCTATCATGCCAAGAATGACAAACTAAAGAGGAACGGTGTCACATTTATCATCAAAAACAACATTTCAAGATCTATCCTGAAGTATAACACTGTCAGTGATAGGATAATATCCATACATATACAAGGAAGACCATTTAATACGACTATTATTCGAATTTATGCTCAACCACTAATGTCAAAGATAAACTGAAGATTTTTACCAACTTCTGCAGTCTGAAATTGATCAAACATGCAATCAAGATGCATTGATAATTACTGGTGACTGAAACGCAAAAGTTGGAAACGAAGGAGAAATCAGTAGTTGGAAAATATGGCCCTGGTGATAGAAACAATGCTGGAGATGGCATAGAATTTTGCAAGACCAACGACTTCTTCATTACAAATACCATTTTTTAACATCATAAATGGCAACTATACACGTGGACCTCACCAGATGGAATACACAAGAATCAAATCAACTACATCTGTGGAAACAGACAATGGAGAAGCTCAATAGCATCAGTCAGAACAAGGCAGACTGCATAACAGACCATCAATTGCTCATATGCAAGCTAAAGTTGAAGCTGAAGAAAATTAAAACCACCCCACAAGAGCCGAAGTATGACCTTGAGTATATCCCACCTGAATTTTGAGACTGTCTCAAGAATAGATCTGATACATTGAACACTAATTACTGAAAACCAGACAAGTAGCCAAGTTGTGCAATGACATCAAGGACATCATACAGTAACACAGCAAAAGGTCATTAAAAAGACAGGAAAGAAAGATCAAAATGGATGTCAGAAGACACTTTGAAACTTGCTTATGAACATAGAATAGCTAAAGCAAAGGAAAGAAATGATGAAGTAAAAGAACCGATATATTCCTAGGAGTGGGATTGCTGGATTGTTCGGTATTTCTATTTCTAGCTTTCTAAGGAAGTGCCATATCATTTTCCAAAATGGTTGTATCATGTTGCATTCCCATCAGCAGTGCATAAGAGTTCCGATCTCCCCGCAGCCTCTCCAACATTTGTTATTTCCAGTTTTTCTGATTCGTGCCAGTAATGCCGGTGTGAGATGGTATCTCATTGTGGTTTTAATTTGCATTTCTCTAATGGCTAGTGATTTCCTCATGCATCTGTTGGGCCATTGTGTTTTCAATCGCCTCGTATGCATGCAAAAGCTGGACAATGAATAAAGAAGACTGAAGAATTGATGCCTTTGAATTACGGTGTTGGTGAAGAAAATTGAACGTACCATGGAATGCCAAAAGAATGAACACATCTGTCTTGGAAGAAGTACAACAAGAATGCTCTTTTGAAGGGAGGATGGCAAGTCTTCGTCTCACATACTTTGGATGTATTATCAGGAGGGACCAGTCCCCAGAGAAAGACATCATGCTTGGTAAAGTAGAGGGTCAGCGAAAAGGAGGAAGACCTTCAAGGAGATGGACTGACACAGTGGCTGCAACAGTGGGCTCAAACACAGCAAGGATTGTGAGGATGGACCTTGTTGTACATAGGGTCACTACAAATTGGAACCAGCTTGGGGGAACCTAACAACAACAACAACAGTAGTGATACATATGGCATACAGGGTTACTATGAGTCGGAAACAACTCGATGGCATCTAACGACAACAATAATAGTAATAACAAGAATATAGAGAGTCATGGTTCTAGGAATTAAGAACTTTGGCAAATTCCACTTATATTTACAGTCAGAAAAACATTGATATGCCTTTAATTAAAACCTTAACATGTATTTTAGCAATTACTTTTTGAGAAATAGGATTATTCCTTAATATACAGAATTCCAAGCTATTTAACTCAAACAGTAGTTACCATTTATCAGTGTTTTCTAATTAAACTAACATAAACCGAAACCAAACCCATTGCTATCAAGTCGATTCCAACTCATAGTGACCCTATAGGACAGAGTAGAAGTGCCCCACAGGGTTTTCAAGGGGTGGCCGGTGGTTCCAACTGCTGACCTTTTGGTTAGCAGCTGAGCTCTTAACCACTGAACCACCAGGGCTCCAGTATTAATTAAGCCCTTATTAACGCCACCATCCTTCTAGTTGTGGAGATATAGCAATAAGCAAAACAAAGCCCCTGCCCTTGTAGTCCCTATATTTTATTCGTGAGAGAGAGAGAAAAATAAACCCACAAACAATTAAGTATATAATTTAACAACAACAAAAATTAATAAAGCAAAGTAAATAAGGGAGTAACTGAGATACTGGGATGCTAGTATCGCTATGGATATAAGGTGACATTGGAGCAGAAACTTGGAAAGCACACCTTTTCAGATTTACTGAAAAACTAGTCATTCTTAGATTAGTTGATCTGTTATAATTATCTGAACATTGTTGCTGTTGTTAGCTGCTGTCAAGTGGCCCCTGATTCATGGCGACCTTGTGCACCATGGGATCGGACTATTGCGATCCATAGAGTTTTCACTGCCTGATTTTCTGGTAACAGATTGCCAAGCCTTTCTTTCTAGTCCATTTTAGTCTGGAAGCTCCACTGAAACCTGTTCAGCATCATAGCAATACACAAGATGCCAGTGACAGATGGTTGGTGGCTGTGCATGCAGTGCATTGGCTGGGAATTGAACACGGTCACCACATGGAAGGCAAGAATGCTACCACTGAACCACCACTGCTCTCATCTGAACAATCAATTACTAAAATTCATGGAGAGGAAACACATGGTAAAATTAACTGAGCTAGAAGTTAGAAAAACAAATGAGAGTGAAATTACTGATAAATCTACTACTGTTGAGTTGATTCAGACTCATAGTGACCCCATAGGGTTTCCAAGGAGCAGCTGGTGGATTCGAACTGCTGACCTTTTGGTTAGCAGCCTGAGCTCTTAACCACTGCACCACCAGGGGTCTGAAATTACTGATGAGGTGGTTCAATTTGGGGGAAAAAAAAAAAAACTATGTTAACAATACAGGTAAAATTATTTTTATTATCATTTGCCAAAAGGAAGTATAAGAAAATATAAACTTCAGTCTACAGAAAAGAGCCCAGATACCACAGCAAAATACTTTTCACTACAAAAACATCTGCTGATTTTTAGCTACGGTAAAAGTTAATTTTTATAATGGAAGAACTTTGATCTTAGGTTACAAATGAGGGAAGTTGCATCAGACCCTCCATATTTGCTAAGCTGCCCCTAGAGCCAAGGAACTCTGCATTCAAATCTGATCTCTCTCACTTACGGTATAACCTTGAACAACTAACTGAACCTCTCCAACTATCACTTGCCTCATCTGTAAATATGAATAAAAATAGTAACTACCTATTAAATGATGCACAAAAACAATTCAAGAAAAGTACTTAGAGTGCACTAGGTAGTAAATGTTCAATAAATGTTAGCTATTACTATTTTCCCATATTATCATTACTGAACTTCTCACTCTTGCATAAAATAAGGTTTAACATCAATTATGGTAAATAGAACCCCTCAAACTTGTGAAACTAAAGAGTTAATAAGAACCTGAAGTATAAAAGACAAGAAGGGTGTTACAAGTATAATAAATACGATTTGATCGCTGAAAATAAAATGCTACAGCCTTTATGTTGTTGTTGTCAAGTCGATTCCGACTCATGGTGACCTCATGTGTGCAGAGTAGAAATGCTCCATATGGTTTTCAAGACTGTGATCTTTCAGAAGTAGATCACCAGGCCTGTCTTCCAAAGTGCCTCTGGGTGGGTTAGAGCCACCAACCTTTCGGCTAGTAGTCAAGTGCTCAATCATTTGCGCCACCTAGTGACCTATAGTGTGTATAAACCAAAACCCACTTCCGTTGAGTCAATTCCAACTCATAGCAACCCTACAGGACAGAGTAGAACTGCCCCATTGGGTTTCCAAGGCTGTAAATCTTTACGGAAGCAGACTGCCGCATCTTTCTCCCACGGAGCAGCTTGTGGGTTTGAACTGCCAACCTTTTGGTTAGCAGCCAAGCAGTTAAGCTCTGCACCAACAGGCTCCTTATCTGCATCAAAAGTATCTGGAAATGTACTTTTTTTAAACCTGTCTTACTAAACTACCATTCTCAGAGCTCCTGCTCTACCATTTATGAATCTATATTAGCTGAGACTAGTAAATACATAAGGTTTTCAGAGATGATCAAAACTAACAATCATTGTTACATAGCATGTAACAATGACTTCAAACTGCTGACCTTTCACTCTCAGTTAGCAGTGCCACCAGGGCTCCTTACAGTCTATATAAAAACACCAAACCAAACCATTGCTGTCAAGTCCATTCCGACTCATACCGACCCTACAGGACAGAGTAGAACTGCCTCATAGGGTTTCCAAGGAGCAGCTGGTGGATTCAAACTGCTGACCTTTTTTAGCTAGCAGCTGTAGCATGCCATAGCTCTTAACCCCTCCACCACTAGGGCTATAAAGGGCCATTAAAAAGAAAAATGATACAATGTGATACAGGAATCATTATCTCCTGATCAGATTGCAGGTGAAAGGAAACAATGTCAGTAAACACTTAGCTATTAACTTTAATGGAAAAAAAAAACTGAAGACGATAGTCATGCATTCAATCTAATTAAACTATTAGAACTCTATTAGATTCTTAAACATTTGAACTGAGAAAAAAGTCATATCTTAAACAATCACAGAGAAAGTGAGTAAAGTATTAAGAATTTCAAGTTTCCTGCCTTGGAAATAGCAGTAATTGCAAAAGACAAAGACTAGGAAACCAAGGTAGCTTAATGTAATAGATACACGTAGGTTATAACAATCAGAATTAATGTTTTATCTATTTTAGTATTTCATATACTTTGGATCATCTCAGTGAGAAACCGGAAATAAAAAGAAAATAGTTTCAATTAAAAAATAAATGAACTTCATGATACATTATAACTTAATAAAGCAGTACCAGAGGTCCTTAGGTGGAGCAAATGGTTAAGCGCTCAATGACTAGCCAAAAGGCTAGTGGTTTGAACCGACCCACTCAGAAGACAGGCCTGGCAATATGCTCCCAGAAGGTCACGGCCTCGGAAACCATACGGAGCAGTTCAACTCTGCATACATGCGTCACCATCAGTTACAATTCACTCAATGGCAATTAACAACAACAACAAAAACAAAGCAGTACCAAATACATTTTCAATTAAAAGAAATCAGGAAGTGATTCTTTCATAGTAGTACCAGGAATCATGATCTAGGGGAAATAAATTACAATGAGAAGTCCTGGGTTCAAAAACTGACTCTGAATTTTATTTTGTTTTTAACTTTGATTGAGTTATATTAATTGTCTAAGCAAGCCTTAGTTCTTAACCAGTAAATTATGAAAGGTATCGTTACTGTGGTGTGGACTTTTATAATAATATATAAGTTTCACGGAGGCAAATATCATGGTTAAAAACATGAGTTTTCGGTGTCGATAAACCTAGATTTGAGTTCCAGCTGTCCAATTATTTATTCATCCCAGGCAAGTTTCTCAATCTTTCTTATCTTGAGGTTTCCTTATCTTTAAAATGATCAGAAATAATATCCACCTCATGTCACTGTTTGTATGTATTAAATGGGACAATGCAAGGGCTCAGCCAGTGTGCAGAACACAAAAAGCACTCAGAAATGATAGTTGTCAATACCTTCTTAATTTTTTCAATCTGCTTGTTACGCACTGAAGTATTATCAATTGCCAAAACTTCCACAGGTTCTTCTTTTTCCAACTGGTACTTATTTACTCCAACAATTACTTCAGAACCTGTAAATTTCCCAGAAGAAAATAATATGTAGATTCTATTTATAAATAATTGCCTAATAGCAATACTCTGATTATCATGTATTTTCCTTATAACTTTAATATTTATAAGCAGTATTCTTAACTCACATAATGAAAGTTCAACGGGGATCAGCAAATCCCAATCTGAGATGGGGATGTGAGGGTAAAGGATAGATATATATCTAAATTTCTCTAAGATGGGATTTTTATTATGTTCTCAAACTATACACTTTTCCACAGTTTCTAATAAACTCTCTTCTAATAAACCAAAAACCAAAAAACAAACCCGTTGCCATCGAGTTGATTCCAACTCATAGCGACCCTATAAGACAGAGTAGAACTGCCCCATATGGTTTCCAAGGAGCGGCTAGTGGACTCAAACTGCTGACCTTTTGGTTAGCAGCCACAGTTCTTAACCACTGTACCACCAGGGCTCCTGTCTTCTTATAGTACAAAATAAAAACAACAATAGCAGCAGCTACCATCTAGGATTTATGTGATAGAGAATTAACAACCAAAAGCTTTTCTAATTTACTTTCTTGAATTCTCTTACAGCCAATCTCTTTTAAACAAACAGCAACAATAACAAAAAAAACACTTTAAAAATCTATTAAGTTATAACAAGGGCCAGAAGGCAGAAGGGGACAAGGAAGCTGGTGATAGGGAACCCAAGGTTGAATAAGGATATTGTTGATGTGTTGTGAGATTGTTAACCATTGTCATAGGGTAACATGTGTAGTAACTGTTAAATGAGAAACTATTTTGTTCTGTAAGCCTTCATCTTAAGTGAGAATAGCAGCACAATTGGAAGAGC